GCGAGTCGCGAGTGTTGGCGGTTTGGGCTCAGTGTTTGCGATTTAGGGTTTCAAGCTTCAGGTTTGGAATTTCAGGTCCAGGTCCAGGTGTTCGGAAGAGTTTTTTCAGGGGCTTGGGAGGTTAGTTAAAGGTTCGTCTTCTGGAAACATGTCATCGGGATGGTGGAGGACTTTGTAGTGTCTGCTTCAATCTGCTTCGAGTTTGACGATGGTTTACGATAGACGCCTTCTTCATTACTACTGCTCTTCGCTACGGCTAACTATTCTAGTCTAATGACATCCGAATGCTCCGACATTTCGGGGTTCATATGGGTGGTTGTCAATATTAGGGTCCCTTTTTGGGTCCTTGTTATAATACGGCACCTCATATTTAGGGTACCCAAAAAGGAACCCTAATTTTGACAACCACCCATATTTACTCTGAGTGCTTGTTGAAGGGATCTTTCCTAGAGGCTCCATATATATACTACCGTTATTACTATTATGGAATTAGGCCCCAAAAGACCATCCTCATTATGGCTCTGGGGGACTAATTCCACAATAGTCGTATATACAGTAGAAGCCAAACAGTTGGAACCCCAATAGCCTCAATCCTTAAGAGTAATCTATAGGGAACCCCAGCACTATTTGGCGTTAATCCGGTTTCCAACTTTACGCGGTTTACTGTCCCAAAGGCTCCATGTACCCTTATAGTAGATACTTGAGCCCCAAAGTAGTCCCTATATAGGAACTTAAAGCTTAAGTATCTACTATAAGGGTACATGGAGCCTTAGGGTGTAGTATATATGGAGCCTCTGGGTTTCGTGCGAGGACAACCGCCCAAGAAGTCGAATTTAATCTCGGAACACCTTACTTGGAGCCTCAGACCTACCTTTGTCCCTTTAAAGGGATCTATAGGGATTCTATAAGGGTATTGGGTTTAGGGTTTCGGGTTCATGGGTAGTTATAAGTGGAGTTCTAAGTCCCCTAACATGGGTTATAAGTAGAGTTACCCTACTTATAACTCCACTTAGAACTAACCATGAACCTCGAAGTAGAGAGCCTATGAAGCCCTGTTGAAACCAGATCCGACCTAAATTTCTGAAACCTATCCCCAAAACCTCAGGCCGAAACCCTACCTCGACCCACCAACTACCCTTTATTGTAGCTCCTACTCACATCTTAATGAGAAACATCGGAGCCCCTTAAAGGGTCCTTGGGGGGTCCTGGTAAACCGATAAATTTTAGCCGCTAAATGAGATTCTGAGCCCTCCGAAGGGATCCATAACTCAAAGTTCTCTCGGGCTCCTTGGGTTCGCAGGCACCCCGGCGACGCAAAAAGGCACCTCTGGAGGTCCGAGTGATGCAACCTTAAAGGGGACTTCGGGTTAGGGTTTAGGGTTTTAAAAGACTATAGGGATTTAGGGGTCTAGGGATTTGGGATTAGCATCTCAGTTACTTAAGTTTTTGTGGTTTAGGGTTTCGGGTTCAGGGCGTCTTAGGGATTTTGCTATAATGTTTGTGAGATCGGGTGCGGGGTCTTAGGGTTTATGGGTTTAGGGTGGGCCAAGAGCCCTTGCTATCTTTACGTTCTAGAAGGGTGTTTAAAAGGTGCACGGGGCTTTAGGGACTTATTCCTAAGTATCCAAATCACCCGATCAATAGGCACTGAGGCTTAGGATGGTTGGAGTGTACCCAGAGACTCCAATATCCCTTAATGAAGGAATATTCCTTAAATTATAGTAGGATCCCATATATGATTTAAGGAATATTCCTTAATTAAGGGATATTGGAGTCTCTGGGTAGGCAGAAATTCTGGGAAGTGCACGATTAGTTGGTATTTGGACCCTGGGTGTAGTGCTTCTTTAAGGTTTCTGTACGGGTTCCTACAAGGGGTACTAGACGAGTTTTTTTGTCTGGTCCTTGATTACGATTGCCTTGAGGGTTTCTCAGGGAGCTCTATAGTACTTGGGTGTGACATACTTGGACCAGTTTTTCTTGGAGGGTCCTATTAGGGTGTGACGGTGGGATTTAGATGTTTTTCTCTTTTCTTGCAGGAGACTTTACCCCTGTCAAGAGTCAGCTCGTGTAGCCTCATCTTCTGCAAAATGGGAGTTTCCGAAACTAGGGGACCGCAAAAAAAGTACCCTAAAGAGTTGGATCCTTATTATAAGGACCTCTTTTAGGGAACCTCTAATTTTCGGAAGCTCCCATATCGCTCACCAATCGCTACCGGGTTCAGGCTGTAGGATGTTCCGGCCACTAGGGCTGCTTGGACACCCAAAGGCTCGATGTACCATTATAGTAGATACTTAGGCCTTAAAGGGGTCTCCATATAGGTACTTTAAGGCCTACAGTAAACTCCAGAAAGTTGGAAACCGGATTAAGGCCAAATAGTCCTGGGATTCCCTATACATTACTCTTAAGGACTGAGGCTATTGGGTTTCTAACTTTTTGGCTTCTACTGTAAGTGTCTACTATAAGGGTACATGGAGTCTTAGGGACAGTAGGTTGCAAGGAGGGCGGGACGGCTGAAATTTCCGATTCTCTGCTCCAAGCTGGGCTCCCGGGAAGGGTTTAGGGTTTAGGGCTTTGGGGTTTAGCGTTTAGGGTTTAGGGTTTAGGGGTTTAGGGGTTTAGGGCTTAGGGTTTAGGGTTTAGGGTTTAGGGGTTTAGGGTTTAGGGTTTAGGGTTTAGGGTTAAGGTGTATGCTGGGGGTGATAGATTTAGAGTACATGGGTCTCACTGTTAATGGGTAGCTGCTGGGTGCAAAGGAGCCCTGGTACAAGAGATGTTCGCAAAATTGGGGTGCAAGACCCCTTGGAAACCGCAAACCCTCCAAGCTCCAAGACTCTCAAGGTACCGCTTTTCGAGTTGAAAGGGTTTGAGGGTGCAAAGTTCCTTTTCTCTTGAAACGTCAAAGATGGAAAGACACACCTAAGTAATGCAGAGGTCGGAATAGTTAGTGTATACTAGTATAGGGCATTTCCCCATAGCTCTTGTGTATCTATACTATGATTGACCTACACACTTTTCACTAGTTGTTGAAGCCGGCATAGTCTAGTGTGAGTCCTAAACCCTAAACTCGCCCTAAACCCGAGTATGAGTGTGTTTGAGTCTTCCATCCCGCCATGTACGCAACTAGTACATACTTCGGCCCCAATGTACCTAGATAGGGACTACTTTTCAGGCCAAAGTATATATTATTTGAGTACAGGGACCGTAAGGGCTTTCTCAGGAGCCTGCAGAGGGGAAGAAGCCAAGGAGAAAGAAGGCATCGGTCACAAGCTGTGGGGATTTAAGACACCATTTAAGGGTGGAAGGCTCAGGGTCCGTACTGTGGTACTACCGTAGGTACCTTGACGGGTTACGTTGAGGAATCCTTTAGGGGTTCATTTAGGGGTTACTACAAGGGTACCTTCAGTATTGCAACATACTGCGCACTTACACCCTTAGTGACCCAGTCGTAGAGTATATGCAGGTATATCAGAGAGTCGAGTCTGGGTTGGGAGCTGGATTTAGGCTTCCAATGCTTTGGTGAGAATCCTTCGGGTCCCATACGAATCCATGCACGCCTCAAGTATATGCAGTAACCTACACAACCCTAGCAACAGTGGACATATTTACAACTCTGTGGAAGTCTGTCTGATCCGATAAGGCACCTTGCGACAGATTCAGATCATCTATCCCATCGGCTCCATCACCTGGGTTTGGAGTACCATACTTGAATACTTTGTTTGGTTCCTGTTGCTTAGAGGAAACAATATGAAATAAAAGTCTATACTTGTTTCTCCCTGGATACTTCAAAGTCCAGATCAACCCTATCCCGGAGGTTTCCAATCGGAACCCTGAAGCAATCAAACCTCCATGGCACCAGGTCAAAGGATGATATTTGCTGAGAAGAACTACTTCCTCTTAGATCCCCAATGCCCAACCTTTAGACTTTTTGGGTTCTTACCTTAACCCTGAAGAACCTACGTTTCTAAGGACTTATCTAAGGAAATCATAATAGGGAGCCCTAAAACGGTAGGTTCTTCAGGGTTAAGGTATGGCTTGGTAGGAACCGGAAAGCTTAACTTTTCATGTCTGTGGCTTATTGGGGAAGTAAGTCCTTAAGCCCCAACTCTTCCGCAACCGTCAATCCTTGCTTTAAATCGGGGGGCCTCAATTAGTTGGAGCACCGGTCTTGGTGTACATTCTACTAAGATGTCATGCTTCCTCTAAGGTATATGGGAGTTTCCGAAGATAGGGGACCCTAATATAGCACCCTAAATAGTAGGATCCTTATCATAAGGACCACAAAATAAGGTACCCCTAATTTTTCGGAAACCCCCATAGAGGGAACCCCCAGCTCCTCAGCCCCAGACAATCCCCAAAATCCCGAAACAGCTAAACCCCCTGTGTAAACCTAGTAGTAGAGTAGGTAACCTTTAAGGGCTCCTTTTCAAGGGGTCTATAAGGGCTACAATAAGGGCTATTATAAGGATTCTAATGTAGGGGCCTTAGTAACCTAGTAGTAGAGTAGGCAACCTTTAACCTTTGTGGGGTAGTATAGTCCCTATACAATCCCTGTATACCCAAAAAGGTTAACCTTTAGTCCCCCATGATACCCGACAAGTGGGTAAAGCCCTGAACCTAAACCCCCAAGTCACAGTCCCAAACCCCTCAAGCCTAAAGCGTGTGGTTAAAGTGTTTCTGTGTTTCATGAGGAATCCCAACCTAGCACGATTATCGCAAAATAACACACATCAAACTGCAAGCTTTTCAAAACCCTTAGATAAACGATGTGTGCAAAGCAGTTTGTAAGCAGCCCCAGATACTAGGATCTCATCGTACTAAGGAACCCCCAACAAGCTACCCTCATTTAGATGCAGCTGATGTTTTTTTGATGGTTTAGGGCTTAAGGTTTAGGGCTGGCCTTATCAGCAAAGTTATCATCACGCTGGGAGTTCCGCTGTTTCCCGTTCTGCCTCAAGTTGGAGCGCACCTTATCTTAAGCTGGGCGACAGCTTGGCCAAGACATGATCAAGCCTGCCCTCTTCCGATTGTTGCAGCTCTGTGCGTATGGCTTGACACTTGGCATCACACTCTGCATCGCGCTTGGTGCAACTTGGGATGGAGTGAGCCCCTGTTCGCCTTGTTATCACTGCTACAAGTGTGGAGACATCTTGAACAGCAGCTGCAAGGCGTGGAATGCTTGGGAAGACTCTTGGGACTTTGATTTGTGGCCCCTGGTTTGGATGGGAAGCTCTGCTTTAGTGATCATGCTATTGCCATGGATATGGCAGCCTGCTGCCCAGTTTCTTGGTGCATGTATGCATGTGATAAACCTACTGTGGCTCGTGATGCTTGCGGCTCCATTGTCATGGCGGCAACGGACAGATGTTGATAGCTGTCATAAGGCATACCCACTTGCTTACATTGGTAGTGCAACTGGCAGGATGTGCGGGATTAACTTGTGTTTGCTCCTGATCTCTGCTGGCCGTTCCTCAGCATGGCTGCGGAAATTCGGCACAGCCTTCACCGAGGGGATATCCATCCATCGTATTGCAGGTTGGTGGTGTGTGGCTCATGCCACTTTGCACTCTGCGGCGTTTGTGCTGTACTACTGGTTTGAGGGTGGATGGTTTCATGTATTTCAGCATCTTGTGCCAGTTAACACTGGAGCACAACCGAACTTCTCCGGCATGATGAATTTCTATGGTGCTCTGAGCATGATCGCTGGCCTTGTTCTGGCAATGTTCTCTACCCCCTATGTTCGTCGGCGGATGTACGGCATGTTTTATAGCATCCATCTGATTACATCAGTGGCCTTCATCGTGTTCGGCGCTTTACACGACTTTGGCATTCTGTTGTACACGCTGCCAGCTTGCTCTTATATCATTGAGCGGGTGCATGCCAAATATAGGCGCACCACTTGCAGAGCTCAGGTGGAACTTCTGTCTCCGATGTTGGTGAAACTCTCTTTGGGCTCGAGTGCTCAGCCTGTACTCGCTCCTGGTACACGGTGGCTGTATATAAAAATCCCATGCATTGGGCGCGAGTGGCACCCTTTCAGCATCACAAGGACTGCTGATTCTGTCGTCATGCACATCAAGTCCGCTGGCGATTGGTCCAAGAGGTTGTGCACACTTGCCCAGAGCAGTAATGAAGTTGACCTGCTGGCTGATGGACCTTACGGTATGGCAGAAGTGCCCCGGCGCATGGTTGAGATTCTTCAGAGAGGCAGTTGCCTTCCTGGCGGTCCTCCATCCGGATCTCTCTTGCTCATTGCCGGAGGAGTCGGCATCTGGGAAGCCCGATGGTATTTACCCTTTTGCTATGTTTGGGTTCTGGATTTCCTTTCATGATGCATGAATACCAAGAAGGGTACCCTTTATGGTTGCTGGGCAACCAAGGTATTGTGCCCTTTGCAGATCTTCTTGATAGCCGCTTGGGAATCTTGGGCGTACTTGGAAATATTTTTTTGGTTTTTGGTTATTAGAATCCCTAAGAAACAGCTACAATTACAATTTTTGCTAGGGCTCTAAGTTCAGTTTAGGAATGTGGAGCGCTGTGACCATCATCTGGGCAGTGCGAAGCGAGAGTGACTAGGTTGGCCCTTGGGATCGGGTTTAGGGTTACAGAACCCTAAGGCTCAAAATGGCCCAAAAGCCTTATATGGTATGGTCTTTGGGCCCAAAAGCCTTAACATATGAGTCCGTAGAGCCTAAGGGGAAATTGTCTAGGGTTCAGGTCCGGAGTTTTGGGCGGGCTTTGGCCGAAGGCGGGTTTTGTTTTTTGCTTGTGGCTGAAATACTGTTGATGGACAAAATCCTGCATGACCTTAAGGACCCTAAACTATGGGAATTATGGTATATTCCCTATATTAGGTCAGTCCATCAACAGTACGTCCTGGGGTCCTGGTCTCGCCGTGGCCCTTTGGGCTGCCTGTGGAGGGGCTTTCCAGTGTGGTTTTGGATGGCTTTTTCGGCTTGGTGCCTGTTTTAAAGGGTCCTATGCACCGATTTAGTAGAATGTAGGGTTTCCATATTAGGAATTGCTATAATGACTCAGGGAAGTATCCCCCATAACAATACATAGGACCCTTTGGGTGCTGAGGGTTCTTTCGGGAGCGTCTTTGGGGCTCTGTCCGGGCTTCTCAGGGCCGGAACCCTTGGGGTTTGTAGTTTAGGGGATTGTTTTTCATATGGGTAGTTGTCAAAATGATGGTCCCCTTTTGGGATACCTTAAATAATGGGTGCCGTATTATAATAAGGACCCAAAAGGGACGCTAGTCTTGACAACCACCCATATGTTCCCTTCCGTGGTTTAAGGCGAGGATTTGATGTCAGGAGCATCTTTCACCCAGAGACTCCAATATCCCTTAATTAAGGAACATTCCTTAATTCATATGAGGGATCCTACTATAATTTAAGGAATATTCCTTAATTAAGGGATATTGGAGTCTCTGGGTACCCTAAACCCTATAGATCCCTTAGAGATCCCTTCAAGGAACCCTAGGCCCTAGGTATATTCCTTCATTAAGGGATGGTGGAGCATCTTTAAACCCCATAGATCCCTTTAAAGAACCCCATAGATCCCCTTAAGGAACCCCATAGATCCCTTTTAACCCTCTACTACCCTTTAAAGGAACCCTTAGAGTCCCCTTTAAAGGAGCCCTTATTACCCCCGGGGCGCCAGCCCAGGTGAGTTCGATGCCTTAGATCGCTCGCTGGGCGTCAGGGGCAAGGCCCGCGGACGTCTCCAACTTCAGGCGGGGGGGGGTGGGTTTTAAAGGGATCTACAGGGTTCCTTTAAGGGGATCTATAGGGTTCCTTTAAAGGGATCTATAGGATTTAGTGGGGGGGTGGGGTTAAGGGGTTTAGGGTTTAGGGTTTTAGGGTTTAGGGTTTAGGGTTTGAGGGTTTAGGCATAAAGGGGTACTTAAAGGATCATGGGACTTAGTAACTAGGGTTATAATTAGGGTAACTATACTTGTAACTACTTATAACCCCAATTAAGGTACTTATAACCTTACTTACTAAGTCTCACTATCCTCCAAGTGGGGGGGCTGAGAACAAAAGTGGTTTAGGGTTTAGGGTAAAGAACTTGGGGGGCCCTTTGCTACTACTTGCTTCAGATCTGTACAAGGGCACCTATAGGGATTGCTATGGTCTTAGTTTGTTTTTTGGGGTGGGTTTTATGCAGAAGGAGAGTTGGGTGCCCTGAACTCTTAAGGAATAGACGAAAATTTCGAGCCCCTTAATGTGCATCCACGGTCAGGTCTACATCACGCAGCCTGCCACGAGCGGTCCACTCCGCTCGCAGCCACTGCTTGGAGGAAGGTCGGGTCCACTCCATTTGGAAAGTGGCTAGGTGGCAATTTGGGAAACTTTTGTTAGTTTCCCTTATGGTTCCTATAGAGGTACCTATTCATAAATACCTTACAGAGCCCCAAAACTACAACCCAGGTGGTGAAGACCCCGCATCCCAAATGCAGATCAGTGCAGAGAGCGATCCGAATCAAGGGATGCGCTTCCAATTGGCTTTGAAGTCTCAGCTTCTGACACTGGGTATGTCTTAGAAGCTGCCCCCGCCCTGTAATGGTGACTTTCAGGAGTATAGTAGGGCCCTATTAGATTCCTATTATACCACGATTACAGGGTGGGGGCAAGGTATGTCTTTGGGATATTTTTATATGTTCCCTTGGTTGGGTTGAAGAAGCCCCGATTTTGGCATTCTGTTACCTCTTCTATGCATCTGTCCAGATAAACAAAATTACTCAATCAATATAATGCGTTCAGTATAATCTCTCGTCATTATCATATTTTCTCATTTTTTATCTATCACAGGATTCCTAGGGCCAACCTAGGACAGGACTGCTACCTGGGCTCGTCTTGCTCTTAACGCTGGAAGTCTACGACAACGTCACTTTGTCATAGTTGGGTAACATTTACATCCTTATGGGTACTTAAACCTAATAGGGAACAAAAGTTTCCATGTTTAATCCTATCCCAACCATGAACTAGGTCATTCTGGACTGGGTTGATCGGCAGCCATGGCGAGACAACCCATTCCTTGAGAGACTCGTCGTCCACGGCGGCATCATCGTGCTGGCATATGCTATGCTTGGGGCATCGGCCATGCTCCTGGCCGCCTTCATCTATGCGTTTTGGGGTGCTGCAGGTCGTGCTCGAAGTTGTTTCTCAAGAAAGGTCAACCTTCTCCAAGATGATGAGAGCACGGCGCCCCTGCGAGATCCACATGTGCCTTGGGCACCAAATGAACCGCCCAAAATGGGGGATAAATAAACCCCCTACTCCAATCCCCTACAAAGGGTATATGCACCATAAAAACCCTCTGTTTTAGGCTTCGTTTTGTCTTCCAAGGTGGTACCTGCTGCATCCCAAGAGTTTTTGATAAAAGAAGGGCGCCCTGATCTCCATGGCATGGTCGGTCAGCTGGCACAGCAAGCCACAACTCTCTCAGTTCATGCCTGTGGTCCCAGCCCACTGTTACTAGGACCCAGAGTAGGCTCTTATTCTTTTTTTGTTTTTAGGGTTTAGGTTCCCTTATAACACCCTTTAAACCAAAAAGGGCACCCTTTTTATGCCTAGGTTACTCTTAGGTCTAGGTTACTTAGATCTCCAATACCTAGCCTTTAAACTTTTTGAGTTCTTATATTATAGTTTAGTAGGAATCGGAAAGTTCAACGTTTTATTTCTGTGGCTTGTTGGGGTAGTAAGGTTAGATGCCGTACGCAAGTCGGTGTCCTGTGCGCGCGCCGCGGGGCGCAAAGTCACATTGCAGATCGAGCAGGCTGAGTGGTAACATGGCTTCTGCTGCTTCGACAACTTCTATAGATTCTAATGTGGCAACATGGTGCTTCTACAACTGTTAATGTGGCTTTCCAGCTTCTGCTGGTTCTACAACTTTTAATGCTGGTTCTACAACTTTTAATGTGGCAGAGACCTTCCGGGAATTCACCCTCATGCCGCCCTATATCTACTGAACCGGAGCCGCTTGAACCAGAGCTGCAATGCCAGACTGCCTAAAGCCCAGAGGCGCGCTGGTGCGCACTGTCTGGGGGTTTTGGAATTCAACCAGTTCATTCTGCTGATGGACAAAATCCTGCATGACCTTAAGGACCCTAAATTATGGGAATTATGGTATATTTCCCATATTGGGGCATGCAGGACACCGTCCATCCACAGTTTAACACACCTGAGCTTCGGAAGCTCAGTTTAGAGGGGTTGACCGTTCACGTGCAGCTTACCTGTGCTTAGAGCGTGCGCTGCAGGAACTTTGCCGCTTGATAATGAGGGTTTATAACCCAGAACCCTAATCAAATATTCTAGAATCCCACGAAACCGTTAGCACCGTCTTGTCTGCAAATGGGGGTTTCAAGCAGCTCTGTTCTCTGCCGGCCATGTATGCTCGTTTCAGATGCTGGGCCCTTGATTTTGCAAGCAATCCCGAACACTACCCGGCTAAGCACGGAAGGCCAAAAGCCTAAGTCTCAGCCTGCACACAACAGGTCCCACCCGAACAGCAGTCTATGATTGTTGTAGTTATACCTTAAACCGCCAAACCCTACCTTTCTGTAGGATTTTACTATAAAGTTGAATACGGAATTTATAGGGACCCTACAAAAAAGTAGGCTTTGGTAGGTTAAGGTAGGCTCAAAGTTTGGAAAGAGCCGCCCAGTCTCTTGGGGGGGGTCCGAGTGCCCAATAAGTAGGGTTGCTGGCTACCTAAATTCCGTTCAGTGCATAGTTCCATAAGGGTTCATGTATTCATATAGTATATACATTGGCCTTAATGTAGTCCCTATATAGGTACATTGGGGCTCATGTATCTCTATATTTTGGTACATGGACCCTTAGGGGTTTTCAGTTGAAGGCAGAAATCCTACTATGCTTGGAGCCTCCGAGAAAGAACTTTAAACCAGTGTAACATCCCCCCGAACCCTATCCTGGCCATGTCGACCCTTGTTTTACCTGGACCCAAGAAATTTCCTGGAAGTAGAATACACTGTACCCCCAAACCCCCTTGTAATGATTAAGGCCATGAAATAGTAAGCCCCTTATAGTAGCCCTGATAGAAGCCTTTACATGAATGCTGAACGGACCCTTGAATCATCGAAAGTAGCGCTGAAAGGAACCAGTAAAGCTTGAAAGCAACCCTTTAAAAGGAGCCCCTTTAAGGAAGCCCTTGCGTACGTGGACCCGGTAGGGTAACCGAAAGCTTCTCGAGACCTTCCAATTCCAGGAGCCCCGCTTGCGAGCCTGGCCGGAGGATCCTGTGGGGAAGTAGTGTGGTCCTTTGAGGGTTCTTGTAAGGGTTACTTTCTGTAAGGGTTCCTTTTCGGGTTGTGACGTTGGTTCTCGTTGCAAAGTCAAAAACTCTGCGAAAACTCAGTGGAAACTCAAACAATGAAATTCGCGAAGACTCGGCGGAAGCTCAGCGGAAACTCGAAACTCGGGAAAAACTCAGCGGAAACTCGAAAACTCTGGACAAACTCAGAGAGAGAACTCAGAGAATATTCACAATACATTCAAAACAGCAGGGAAAAGCTTTGTGGAGCCCTTTGCCTGATCAGGAGTTGTGCTGAATGTTCTCTGAGTTTTCGCTGAGTTTTCTTTGTATTTTGGAGCTTGGATTCGGGCCAGTTTTTTGGCTGAACACGGTTTGAGTTTCCGCTGAGTTCCTGTGTTTTGAAGAAAAGGTACCTGCGAAAATCGACATTGGGAATTACTTTCGCCACCGGCCCGCGAATTCTGAAATGCATGGTCGTTTGTCGGATGCTTTTTGATTTTGCTTGTTATGTTCTTCGTGGTTCGTTTTCTTTTCTTGGCTCTTGTTCGCAAGGCAGTTGGGATATCATCGCTTGCCGTTGCAATGGAGAAGACGATCCTGCTTTGTACTAAGGCTGCTAAGGTCTCCTTCTGTTAAATCAGGGCTGCGTTGTCGTTCTTTCCACGTCATGAAGAGTCTCGCTTCATTGGGCACGGTATGCTGCAGAGCAAATCCGTGCCGCGCAGATCCACAACATGATACGACCTGGGATTAGGGCTTAAGGTGCAGGCTGGTGCAGGGGTGTAGTGATGTTGAAGCTGGGTTTGGGAGTTGATGGTGTAGTTTGAGCTTAAGTTTGGGCTTGCTTATGGTGGTGCTTGTGGAAAGGTGGAATTCTAGAGTTACGGACTCAGCGTTTTCAGGGTCTTGCGTTATGTTCCCCAAGCCCAAGCCCTACTTACTAAACTCCTAAATTTCAAATCCCTGAACCATAAGGTCTAACCCCCCTAGGACGCAAAAACCCTCAAGGCCCTAGTGCTTGCAGCTCTTTGGTAGCCGTCCTCTGCTCCGTTTCTCATCCCTTGGCTTTCGCAACAGTTCCCTAGGGCCCAGCTACCAATGCGGGGTAGGTACTGTCAAGAGGGATTTCGCACATCCTCAAAAGTTGAAACTTGAAACCAAAGCCCTACACCTTAAAACCCCAAACCTATTCCCGAAAATCTAAAAGCCCAAACCCCAACAACCCAAAATCCCGAAGCCGTACAAAAAACGGTTTTGGCCCAAAAGCCCTGGCGAGGACGCAGAGGATGACCAGGAGGTCCCTGTGCCTGGGTCAGGCATAAGTAGCCCAAAGGGTCCATACACACTGCCATAATGGAATTAGTTACCAAAAACCATAATGGGAAGGTCTTTTGGGACCTACTTCCGTAGCGGTAGTTGGACCCTCTGGGCAAGATGATTGAAGGGAGAAGTAGGGTTCGGATTATAACTATAGGGCTCTGATTGTAAAGAATCGTTTACCCAATAATGCCAATAATGAGGTAATCGGGTTTAGGATGGCAGTGCTGTAGAGTCGTACGTGTGAGGGTACCTGGGCCCTTAGAGTCGTATGTAGGACAACCGATAATTAGGAAGTTAAACCTCGAAACCCGAATAAACTCTATAAGCCCTATACACTCTATAAGCCCTATAAACCCAATATACCCAAAACCCCTTGCCCCTAAACCCCTAAACCCTGTAGGTTTCAGGGGTTCAGCAGCGGATGTACCGAAACTTCATGCTGCGAGGAGCCTGAGGAGGAGCCGGAGGAACGCGAGGTCGGATTTGGGGGGGGGGGGGGGGAGCCGATACACCCACAAGGAAATGCTCCTTGTTAGGAGGTGTATGACCAGTTTATTCCCTAAGGATCAAAGGGCAGCGCCCTGCACACGGACAGTAGTTGTTTTGTCTTGCTACGCAAGGAGAGCTTGTCTTGTCTCAATATGGTAAAACCACTGTGAGCCAATGGGCAGCGGAATGTATATGTATGAGCATGCAGCCATTGCTGTAGGTACCTGTTAGAGCTACCCCTTTAGAGGTTTACGCAAACAAACAGACACTAATTTTCTTTTACCGGAAGCATGGCCGCACATTCACACATATACTATTATGCCCACTGTCACAGTTGCGGAGTTTGGACTCATGATAAAAACAGCATATTGTTTATGCTAGGTATAGCACTGAAGTACACTGTTGAAGTCACTCTTGAAATCACTCCTTTTGAACTCTTTCATGCACATTGGTCAGAGAGATCGTCTGTACAGGATCAGGTCTGGTAATGTTCTTCTATCGAATTATGCAGCCCTTCACTGTGCTCTTGTTAGAGCCTTGTGAGTCACTGTTGTGAAACTCTGAGATTTTCCTTATCTCAGATTTGGATCCAGGTTTGGATCATAGGCTCGAGCATAGACGTTCGGATGTGGTTCATCCGGGTCTGAGTGATCTTCTTCGGAACTTGAAAAGATTCCGAGTAATCTGTTCTCAGCCCTGGTGAAGGCGGCGTCTGCAGTGTCATATCCATGGTTGGATGTAGTCGCCTTTGGCTCGGCCTTTGGTGCAGCTTGTGAGCTGATTGGAGTTGCCTCGGCTTTAGCCGGTTGTGGCTGCTTAGCCTTTGCCCGTTCGGCCCTTCTTCTTTCAAGCTGTCCGTCTGAGGACGCCCATGATCTTTCACTTTCATCTCCTGAGGGAGATAAGGCGTGGGCATGAAGGCTGTTCCAGTACTGTGCTGCAGAAGGAGTTAGGACTTCTTCATGGTCAGATTCTGACTGGTCTTCCTCAGAGCTTTGGTCGTCAAAAAGTGTCTCAAGGACATTTTTGAGGTTTTTATGTCTTCGCTCTATCTCTAGTGAGGAATGGACCAATTGATTGAAGACTGTTTTTGAGTCCTTCAGTGCTGTTAGAAGGATTTCCACTCTGGATAGAGTATCTTGGATGGTGTCAAGATGATCCTTTCTTTCCTCCTTGTCTCTCTGGATAGAGTTTCGCAATGATTGTGCGATTCTGAGGAGGTCGAGATATTTCTCAATAGGCATAGTTACCGTATGATTGTCATGTATGACAGTTGTTTCGTCGCTGCTCAAGTTCCTGAATAGGACTTCCACGACTGGTAGAAACTCCGTGCTCCACGGTTCCTCTTCATCATATGTTTCTACGTGCTGTTGCACGCGTTGTGTAAACTGCTCGGCTGCTTCTACCGTTGCATCGATAGAGCTGACGTGTCTTACTGCCATGTTTCGGCACATAGTGTTAATGGCCTGGCCTTGATTGGCTTCGCCAAGTGCAGCGTCTGCATGGTTGCAGAGTCCACTGTTATGGGCTTCTCTAGCTGCTTTTCGTTGAATGCGCCGATTTTGACCTCCTCTTCTGGTAGGACCTTTTGGTCTCGGAGGATCTGAAGGTACTGTTCCTTTCGCCTTTGGCGGAGGAGTCTTAGGTGGAGGTGACATGTTTGCCTTGTTAGGCACTGGTGGCATTGCCTTGGGCACTGACGA